GCTCCTGTGCCACCAAACGGAAACTATTGCCCCGAGTGTGACTGTGGGAGCTTTTCCTTCCCCCCACATTGTTCAGGGCCCTCTGGGAGCTGCTCGAGCAATTTGCTGCCTGAATAAACGTTTCCTTTCCCGGCTGCTAAGTACAAGGAATAAGTGTCAGGGGATCTCATAATGGCAGGATTTAGAGCTCCAGGCTCAAGACAGAAGTCAAGAAAATGCTTTGCTGGTTTTTCTTCCTGGGGACCCTCCATTCTCTTGTGCCTTAATCCCCTTTATTAATAACAATGGCAAATTAAACAATTAATGCACTCAAAGGTCAGTAACCTCCATGCCCAGTATTGCTCAGACTGCTGGTGGATCATGCTTCCTGTGGGCTCTGAGCCCTGGGAATTTTTGGGTTTTCTTGGACACCCCCCATGTAAAACGTCACCAGCTGCAGCTCTTCAGGTGATACTTTCTCATGGTTTTGTAGACCCTCACGTTTTCAAGAGAGCTGTGTAGCCCAGAGGACAGCTCAGAAGGCTCTCCCTGGCAACTTTATCCCTGAGTTTAGGGATACTGTGAAATTATAGCACCTCTTTCAGAAATGGATCCAGTTTCTTGTCTTCTGTTGCTCCATTGGGGCCCAAATGCCCTTTGTTCACCAAAGAGCATGTGTTAAGCCTACATCATCTTCTCTGAGTCAGTATCCAGTAGTGTTCAAGACATATCCTTCATCATCAAGTGTATTTTCATAGAATCACAGAGACACAGAATAGTTTAGGCTGGAAAAAAGCTTCCAGATCATCAAATTCAATCATTAACCTAACTCTGCAAAGTCTCGTGCTAAACCACGTTCCTAAGCACTATATCTATACATCTCCTAAACACCTCCAGGGATGGTGATTCAACCACCTCCCTGAGCAGCCTGTTCCAGTGTTTATAACCTTTTTGGTGAAGAAGTTTCTCCTAATATCTAGTCTAAACCTCCCCTGGCAAACTTGAGGCCATCTCGTGTTCTGTTGCTTGTTACTTGGGAGAAGAGACCAACACCCACTTCCCTACGACCTCCTTTCAGAGTGAGAAGGTCTCCCCTTAGCCTCCTTTTCTCCAGGCTGAACACCCCAAGTTCCATCAGCCTTTTTAGGCTTGTGCTCCAGACCCTTCACCAACTTCACTGCCCTTCTTCTTTGAAGGAAGAGAGGATATTTCTCCTCCACGTGAGATCTCTTGAGGTCAAGGAGCTCCTCTGCTCGGATGAGGCTCCAGAAATGGTTTTAATGAGGTCGCACTCAGCAGATGCCATCTTCTGACTCAGCACTGGGTAGTGCATGCAGGGGGCACACCCATCTGATATTATCCCATGAGGGCTGAGGTTAGGGAGAGCCATCCATCACGTGGAGGCTTGGTGTGCCCTGAGAACAAAGTCTATTCCTTCCCCCACTCAAGAACCAGCAATTTCTGTTCATTAATGTTCATAAGGATCAGCTTTGTCTGCAGCTGAGAGGGGAAAATCACATAAATGCTCTTCCTACAGAAGCAGAAGAGGACATTTTGAAATTTAAACTAATGAAAGCCCCTCCAGAGAGAAGTTCCAGTCCAAATCCCATAGAAATTAAAAAAAAACCAAACAACAAAAAACAGCAACCAAAAAACCACCTCTAAACCACCAAAAACTAGGTGAAGGCTACAGCTCAAACCAATATGGATAAAAGAGGAGAGAAGGTGTCAAGATTGCTTTGTGCTGGTGTTGTGGGGCTCTGATTACAAACCAACAGTGACAATAATGTGGACAATGGAGCTGGGTGTCACACAAACTCTTTGGAAGCAACACTCAATATTCAGTAGCAAATCTGATTATTGTCAGAAAAGAAGAGACTTTTGCTCTGCTTGGTTTCAACTCCACGTCCTCTGTTTCTTTCTAAAAGCTAAAATATTACCATACTTGCTATTTCCTGTTATCAGATCAGTTTTGAGGGACTTTCTTATTCAAGGGCTAGTCCAAATCTTAACATTTCTGACTGTTAGGAAATTTTCTTTTATTGCCATGATTAAAAGCTTTTGTTAAAAAGCCATGATAAAAAGATTTTGTTCTTCTGGAGGAAAATATCCAGGAAAGACGTTAGGCCAGGCTGGATGGTGCTTGGAGCAACCTGATCTCTGCCCATGGCAGGGATGGAACTGGATGGTCTTTAAGGTCCTTTGCAACACAAACCACCCTAAGATTCTATGATACTTTGTAATTAATCACCAACACAACTCAAATTGGCCAAGAATTTTAACTGTTACCTATGGATTACCTGAATTCTCCCTGGATTATGTCACCAACGTTGTACTGAATTATTTTCAAGAAGGAATTTTCTCACAAAAATTGCTTGGCTTTTTCTTTGGAAAATGAGAAATTAAAAACTCAACAACTTCTGAGATAGAATAATAATCATAATAATTTAAAAAAAAGTGAAATGTTTTCCTTTCTTGAGATTTTTCAAGGAAATTAGCTCTTTCCTGACCAGCTGTTCCAATCCCTTCCCTTCTCAAAGGAAGTTCATTTGATCTAGATTTTGGCTCCAGCTCAATGGTGATTTTAAAGGGAAAAGTGAGGCATTTTGGTTACAGAATCACTGAATCCATGTGTACAAAAATCACCCAGAGGCATTCTCATCTTTCCTAAACCATCAGAATTGCTCAAAGGTAATGAGATTTTTCCTTAGCTGCTGGATCCCTTCTTCTCTGGCTCCAAAGCCCCTTGGCTCCACTAATTTACTGTTTTCTAGTATTTCCCCATGGCCACATTTCCTGTCTTGCCATTTTTAGCCTGGTTTTCTAGGGAGAATTAGGTTCATGTGAATTTTTTTCTCTGTGCCTCTGTTTTACTGGCGCCACTCTAGTAATTTTTCAGTCCTTTGGCTGTTTCATGGTTATGCAGTTTCCTACAGATTTTCCAAAAATAGTCTGGAGAAAAGAGAAAATAAGGCCAACATTTGAACATAACCCTTAGTAGATACAAGAGGATCCACATGGGATTGAGGCACAGGCAGGCAAGAAGCCAAATGTTGGTAGTTTGCTGTTTGGGAAACGATTGTCTTCCAGCAGAAAACTGAGATACTCATGTACCAAGCAGGTGAACAAGCACAAAATCTAGGAACATGCACAATAACATTTCAAGAGTTATTCTGGTCTCTAATAGCTGAACGTCTTGATACAAAGTTCTCCAAATGTCTCCTGTGTGATGCAGTTTGTTGGGAGTTTTTTCAGCAGCTTGGTTTATTCCCAGCCTACACTAATCATAGAATCACAGAATAGTTTGAGTTGGAAGGGACCTTATAGATCATCTAGATCTACCCCCCTGCCATGGGCAGGGACACCTCCCACAAGACCAGGTTACTCCAAGTCCCATCCAACCTGGCCTTCAACACTTCCAGAGATGGAGCAGCAGGTTGCTCTAAGCAGCCTGGGCCAGTGTCTCACCAACCTCACAGCAAAGAATTTCTCCTAAGATCTAATTTAAATCTCCCCTCTTTCAGCTTGAAACCATTCCCCCTCATCCTATCACTCCCTGCCCTTGTAAAAATTCTCCCTTCAGCTTTCCTGCAGCCCTTTCAGGTGCTGGGAGGTGCTCTAAGGTCTTCTCTTCTAAGCCTTCTCTTCTCCAGGCTGAACCTCAACTGTCCCAGCCTGTCTCCATTGCAGAGCTGCTCCAACCCCCTGATCATCCTCAGCACCCTCTCTGGACTTGCTCCAACAGCTTCATGTCATTCTTGTGTTGGGCTCTCCAGAACTGGACACAGCATTATGTAATGGAGCCCTCTGCTGTCATTTTCTTCTTCTCCTCCAGTATTTTATTAGTGTTCCCTTTTTGGGGTCAAGTCAACAGAACCTGTCAGTGTGCAGGAAGGAATGGTTTTGTAACAGAAGAAATACATTCTCAAGCTGAACTCCACAGCTGATGGTCTCCTGGTGGGATCACCATCAGGAATGCACAGTTTCAAGGTCTGTGCCAGCTGAATGCAGCTGTATTTACATCTCAGCAAGGCCTGTAGCTGATGCTTATGTTTTATTAGGTGGTGGCTTTGGCTTCTCAAGGGCATTGAATCCAAGGGTGAGATGACCTGGTCTTTCCAAATGCTGATGCAATTGAGGTGTGCCATGTTGACTCTGCACCACCTTGCAGATGATATGGACATGCCATAGCCATAGAGATTGCAGTGGCTCAGCCCAGAGCAATTGTCCTCATTCTCACATCACACCTGCAGCTGAGCCCTGGTGGAGGGTGAACCAGGAACATGGTGAGTCAATGCACCAAGCCCTGGAGAGTGGCATCAAGCACAGTGGAGACTTCCATTAAAAGCTGAGTCTGTGACGCTTACTTATAAATGCCCATCAACTGCCTGAGTGGATTCTTGTGTTTCAGGAGCCACTTCTCATGCAGAGAAGAGAGCAAAAGCACATCAAGGTCTCAACCCCTTGACTTCCTGCAGCCTTTCCCCTCTGCAGAGAGGCTGGGCGGGAGCAAGCAAGGGCTGGGTGAGGGAAAGCAGGAGGTACAGGCATAGATTTCCCTGCCCACACCTACTCAAGCCCCACAGAGAGCTGCTGGGGAAGCTGCCTGATGTCTGGGCACTTCTGCTTTGTGGCTTCAGGCTTGGGTTTATTCATGGTCCTGACTGTAAACATGTCTCCTTCCCTGTCCTGGTCTGCCTGCCCTGGCTGTGTCCAATCTTGAAAATTGGATAACGTCAGAGCAGAAGGAGAGGTTTCTATTTCTGTCTCGTTGTATCCGTGTCCCAGCACATCCCTGCTGCCACAGAAGTCCTGCAGCCAACACTGTATGACAGGGAAAGGAAATTTGCTTCCCAATAATCCCGTGGCCTTCCTTGAGAAAGGAAGCACCCTGCGAAATCTGAATGTTTATGATTTCTAGAAACGTCACTTCTGGGCTCAAATATCGAGACTTGGATCAGAAATTGAATGTACAGCTGCATAATTAACCAAGTCTTTTCCCTTCTCTCCCATCATGGCAGCAGAATTTTTTGATGATTATTCAGAAGGGCGAGAATGTGTCAACTGTGGGGCCATGTCCACCCCACTCTGGAGGAGAGATGGCACGGGGCACTACCTCTGCAACGCCTGTGGGCTCTACCACAAGATGAATGGCATCAACAGGCCCTTGTTCAAACCTCAGAGGAGGCTGGTAAGTCAAGATCACACCACACACGTGGGGCAAGGCTGCGTGCAAGGATGAGGCAAAAAGACTTTGGCCAGGTGGAGGTGCCAGGGGTGCTTCAACTCCTTAGGTCTGCCCAATTTAGGTGGTTTTGGTGCAGATTTCTGAAATAAGCCAGATTGTCTGGTTCTTGGTCCACTCCAAGGTCTTGTACTGCCCAGGTGAGTTCTACAGACACCCAGGCCACGTGGGGGAAGGGGCTGTAGGACACAGGGGCAGTCCCATGGTGTCAGCTGAGCAAAAGTCAGCCTTTGCTTTAGTATCCCTGTAGGCACATTAAGAAGAATGGAAACCCTTTCCAGCTTCACCACACCACCAGTCTTTCTTCTCTTACCTTCAGGGCCCTTATTGCCTGGTCACTGGTGGGTGACCCCTCTCACTTTGTGGTGGCTGGACACCTTTTTCTAGATACTCTCATCCCAGCTCCTTTGGGCGAGCTGAAGCAGAGCTTGTGGGGCAGGTCAGGGTATCCCAAAGCCTCTGGGGTGAGGATAGAGTGTGCATGGGGAACCTGGGGGATGGGAACACCTCGTGGATAACCTGCCTGTTTCTGCTCCTTTCATGAGAGGTTTTGGGAAGGTCTCTGCAGTCTGTGTCCCAGGGATGTGGGGTCATGACCTCAGGTAGAAAGCCATCCCTCAGGGCCGTATTTCCTTGTCTTCCATGAGGCTCCATCCCCAACTTGCCCTGCCCTTCTCATCGCCCAGACCTTTCTGTGCCCAGTGCCAGCTGCTCCCTGCAAGCCTCAAAAGGTGACACTTGGCAGCCTGAGCGCTGCCACCAGCCGCAGCCACCCAGCGCCCTCTTGTGAAAACCCCTTCCTGGACACTGCCCTGACTGCACCCTGCCACCCAGGCCCCTGCCCTCTGCCATGTGCTGCTCTACGTGTGGTCCTCGGGCACATCTGTGTGGGCAGAAACGTCCCATTGGGCGTCAGGCTTGGTCCTTTGGAGCAAGAAGTGATGTTCACCCTGCAGATTTTGGGAGAAAGCTTGGAAAATCCTATGAAAAATAGAGCTGTGCAGATCTGTATGTGCACTTTTGTCACTTGGCTGGGCTGCTGGCAACCTGGAAACCTTGCAGAACTGGCCAAATTCCTGCTTTTTCATGTCCGTGAAGAAAAGGAGGCTCTGTCCAGAGATACAATGTAGGGGTGTGGCTCAGGTTATGACAATTGGTCTACCTGAATAAATATCTTCAGTAGAAGTGATTTGATTTAATCTGTCACTGTGTGACCCCTTTTTTTCGGAGACTGAGATGTAACAGAGAGCCCTGCAAGGGACCTCTTTGCTTTGCTGCAAGCTCTGTAAAGCTCTTGGTCCACTTCCAAAGGCTGCTGATTGAAGTTAATACATGGTGAGCTTACAATTAAAGGAGTGTTTGGTTTCTCTGCACCAAAGGGTTTTCCAGATTTTGAAGTCTTAAGAAGTACTTGAATTTCAGTTTTTATTGTTCTCCTGCTGTAGACTGACTGAACCTGCTTTATAACAAGGGAGAAGAAACAGAGAGAATGCTGTGGCAAAGATCACAGAGGAAATCCCCAGTAGGTGCTAGGTACTCATCTCCCAGGCTTTGACCCCAACACAGCAGCCAGCCATGCTGTTCAGGTCTGCAGAGCTGGGTAGATGTCCAAGACCACCAGATTTCCGCCCCATAGGGTCTTTTTCAGGCACCTTGAGAACAGGAATCTTCACACAGCTCCAGCACTTCTGTTCAGTCCTCACTTTATCAGCAAGAACAGAGAGAATTTGACCCCTGTCCATCCAGACTATATCCTCAGCTTATTAAGACCTGAGCTTTGAAGGATGCTGGCAAGAGTCAGACAGGCATGAAGGATGTCACTTTTTCTTCCTGCACCTGCTTCCAAGCTCAAAACTGCTATTTTATGTTGTTTCAAGCTGTCTTCCTCCTGTGGTTTTTTGAGCCTGGCTAAACCAGTTCACTCAGAGAGCAAACTTGATAAGGCCTGTTCCCTGCACTGTTTCATTAGTGGGGATTTCTATTAATTATCCATCTTTATCTTTAGTAAGATGATGCTCCTGGAAGCACTCCTTTTCTTATCGTCCCCTCAAGCCACATAAGCAACACTCTATAAACCCAGCAAGGAGTAGATAACATTCAGAGAATCACAGAATGGTTTTGGTCGGAAGGGACCTCAAAGCTCATCTAGTTCCATCCCCCTGCCATGGGCAGGGACACCTCCCACTAGACCAGGTTGCTCCAAGCCCCATCCAACCTGGCCTTGAACACTTCCAGAGCTAGGGCAACCACAGCTTCTCTGGGCAACCTGGTTCAGTGTCCTACCACCTTCACAGGAAATAAATTCTTCCTAATGTCTATCCCGTATCTCCCCTCTTCCAGTTTAAGGTCATTACCCCTTGTTCTATCACTACACGTGTCCTATCACTACTACTACTACTGCCCTTGTGAAAAGTCCTTCCCCACCTTTCCTGGAGCCTCTTCAGGTACTGGAAGGTGCTCTAAACTATCCAAGGCTCTAAGGCTGAACAATCCCAAATCTCTCAACCGGTCTCCATAGCAGAGGTGCTTCGGGACACTGAAGCATTCATGACATTGATAATATTTTCTTGGGATATGCCATGATGGTGGAGGGCTTGGGAACCTGAAAGGGCAGAAGGGCCTGAGATCCAGCACCCTTTGTGTAGGCGTGTGCATATCCAGCAGGTCTCTGAGCTGCTGCTAGACCTGCAGGAGCTCTGAGGCTCTGTTAGATGATGTCTCTGGCACCTCAGATGCCCCAGGACAGCTGAGACATCCCCACGGTGCTGGCAAGGTGGTGGGAAGGCAGCGGGGCAGGAGCTGAAAGGCAAGAGGGGAAGAAAAAGGCAGTTGCATTTCCCACCACACCAAGGTGAGAGGAGAAACGGGCGGAGAAATCAGAAAGGCAAGAGGAGAAGGGAACCAGAGGAGTGCTGGAGCGAGGCTATGGGACCTGAGGTGGTGGCAGCGGAGGGCTGATGTGTTTTGTTCCCCGCAGTCGGCTTCCCGCCGCGTCGGCCTGTCCTGTGCCAACTGCCACACGACCACCACCACGCTCTGGCGCCGCAATGCCGAGGGGGAGCCCGTCTGCAACGCCTGTGGGCTCTACATGAAGCTGCACGGGGTAACAGGGCTTCGCTCTTTTACAGGGGGAGGGGGTTATCGACCGCACCGAGCCGGGGATGGGCTTCGTGGTGCAACTCTGTGCCCTCCCGGGGCTGCTTTTTCTGCTGTTCCCTCTGGGCTTTAGTCCCCCTCAATGTTACAGCGTGTTCAGACTGGCAAGGGGTGATGCATGAAGGGCATTTCTCCTGTATTGGTTTCATAGAACCATGCAATAGCTTGGATGGGGAAGGACCTTAAAGATCATCTAGTTCAAACCCCTCTGCCATGGGCAGGGACACCTCCCAGGCCAGCTTTCTCTGTCTTATCCAAAATTTGCTGCCACTTGCCCCCCAAGCCTTAGAACGCAATGAAACCAGGCCCAGATTCTTCTCACCTAAATTCAGGCACTTGAGTGAAAAACCTGAGTCAGAAGCACAAAGAAAGGCTTGGCCCTTCCACACAGGGTGTCAGATCTTGGCTGTAGGTTGCTCATGGGAACAATCGATGACTTTTTTTGCTCAGGTGCCCAGAGTGTCTCCTCCTGCCTGTGGGGGCTTTATGTACAAAAATAATATCTGATGTAGCTGGACAAGTCCTGTTGGAGTCCAAGGCATAGCAGGACTTTTAGATACAAAACTCCAGTCCTTCTCCCACCAGTCAGTGGCAACAGGGCCACCCCTATGGCGGAGACAAAGGCCTGCAACACTTTGGCCATTGCTTTGTAGCAAACCCTAGTTCTGCTTCTTATTGCTACTCCTAGGGATTTTTATATGTGTCCATGCTCTCAGTAATGTCCAGGGCTTCACAGGGGATGGAAGGGCATTCAGGACACACAGGTCAAAGCTTTATAGCTTTGACAAAGCTTTGACATATCTCTTCACACAGCAGTGCTGACCAGTGACCTTGGGCTCTATCTTGTTGTGGCTTTTAATTACATCTGCTGGTTTTCATGGAGCCTGTGAGGCAGAAGTGGAATAATGTTTTCCTAGATGACCTTATGGACATGCAGAAACCAATGTGCTCTTATATATGGGTCTGTAGGTTCCAAGGCCTTTAGCAATGAGAAAAGAGGGCATCCAGACGAGGAAGCGCAAGCCAAAGAACCTTAACAAAACAAAGACACCAGCAGGTAAGTGTTGAATGGGGGAGTATATTCTACATCCATACATGTATGCACTTGTGTTTCTGACCACCATGTCCTGTGAGTCAGATACCCAATCACAGAATGAGCTGATTCTTCAAAAAGGGGGAGGTGTCTGAACTCCTTCCAGCAGTAACAAAGCCCTTCCCACCATTTATTTTCACCTACGATAGCTTTGGGTGGGTGGGTAGAGTGCTGTACTGGAAGGTCTTTGGGAAGAGCCTGGCTTACTGTCTGCTTTCTCACAGGTCCATCCAGCAGTGAGAGCCTTACTCCGACCACCAGCTCCACCAGCAGCAGCAGCAGCACCACAACCACTGAGGAAATGCGCCCCATAAAAACAGAACCTGGGCTCTCATCTCATTACGGGCACCCCAGTCCAATTTCTCAGGTACAGAGAGGAGATGCTGGCAGTGGGACAAAGATGGGAACTAGGATGGTAGACATGGTGAGACACTCATCCTCAAAATCTCAGTGGAAGGCTGCCTCTTTTCAACCCAGGGGTCTAGGAGTTGGCAGGGAAGAGATCTATCCTCTGGGATGAGGCAAAACCCCACATTTGTGTCACCATGTCTACAGTACAATGCAGCTTTTTAATGATGTGTAGCAGTCCTGAATGGATGAGAAGAAGTAGTAGCTTTGCTGAAAACATGAAATTACTTGCTGGGCAGCTATATAGGTCCCATAGCAAGAAAATTCCCATTCCCTTTGTATGTTTTTATTTGGTTTGATTTGTCCTGAGCAAGGAAGAACTTGGCACTATTATCCTACTTCCCCTGCATTGTCTGTCTATTGAGTGAGAAGAGAAATACAAAGTGAGGACAATAAACTCACACAGCCCAAATCTAAGGGAATTGACTCCCTGCCAAGGTAAAGCAGGCCAGCGTGACAGCCCAGAGCTGCAGGGTGAAATGGTGTACTCTGCCCATATCCACCATTAGATGCCTTGGGACCAGCACAGCATCCACAGAAAGTGTGTATCCTGCTGAGCAACCCTCACAGCTGGCAGCTGATCCATATGGAGGTTTAATAACTGTGCTTTGGTTAATGATCCCCATTGCAAAGGATGACAGGGGGGGTGTCATGAGAGCAGGGCAGAGGGGCAGAATCCCCTCCCTTGACCTCCTGATCATGCTGCTTTTTAGTTGTGTGTTGTGCTGGACTGATCCTGCATCTGCAGCACTTTGCAGAGCTGTTAATGTGTCCTGCAATCCACAGAAGGCCATTTGACAGCTAGGAGAGCCCAAGACTGACCAAATCTCAAGCCTTGGGAGGTTAAATGATCATTTCTGACATTTAGAAGAGAAGAAGATGTCCTGTATACGGTGGTAGGAAAGAACAATGTCTGGAGCAAGAAGGAAAGAGCCTGTCCCAAGTATGCATGAGCTGCGATCTGCAGCTCTACAGCAAATCTGCAGCCATGTTATTCCAACAGCACCAGACCCCAAAAAGGGTTTCATATGGTCCTCTATGGTTTGAATCTTTCTTCACAGGATGTTCCTTTTTCCACAGGCATTCTCAGTCTCTGCCATGTCTGGACATGGGTCATCTATCCACCCTGCGATTTCAGCTCTGAAGCTTTCCCCACAGGCTTACCAGTCAGCTATCAGCCAGTCTCCACAAACCAGCTCCAAACAGGACTCCTGGAACAGCCTGGTGTTAGCTGAGAACCATGGGGACATCATAACTGCGTAACCTGGTCTTCCACCCAGGAACTTCAGGCTGATCTGCTTGAGAGATGAAGAAGATGCTGTGTAATCATCAAGTCCATGTTGTTTCCCACCTCTTTTCTGCTCCTGCCTTCTCTCCCCTTGTGAGATGTTCCAGCAAAGGGATAAAGAGGACTTACCCGAGGTACAGGAGAGCTCTTACACAACAAACAGAGAAGACTCAAATATCAAAGTAACTAATAGATTTGAAGCCTTTTTTCCCCACTTCAAATGAGCCTCTCTATTTGATTGTCACCACCTTCTATAAAATAGTCAGAAATACAAAGATGGACACAGTTCTTGAGTTTATTAAAATATATGACATTTAAGACTCAGACAATGGTGGAGCAGAGACACCTTTTTTTTTTTTTCTTCTGTCAGCATCTGTTATTTTCCTGACTAGGAGAAAATGCCACCACCTTCTCATTACCCAAATTCAGTGATCTTCCATCAAATGAAGCCAGTTCCAGAACAGTTTGTTGAACAGACTTCACTAGACATCTTGTGGTGGCTGTAGTGGATTTTATAGGATTTAGGACAGAGAAAAAGAGATCCTTCCCCACACCCATCCTCAGTTCACACATCTAGAACATTGTCTTCATTTTCCTAGATGGTCTGAAAAGCTAATGAATGTCTGTATTTAATAGTAACTCCTTTCCTATTTATCATTACAAAATCATGGGACTGTGTTTCCAAAAAGTTGTTGCCTGAGCCTGGAGAAGGTCTGTCCAAAGTCAAAGAGGGATTTTGGAATGAGGAACCTTGTGGAAGCAAGAGACCCATATTGGCCAACAAATCCTGGGGGAAATTGCTGGGCTCTTCCCTTGTGGATAGCTACAAGCAAGGCTTAGATGTTACTCAATAGCACAGCATGTGACAGATGCTCTTCTAATGCTGCTGTGCCATTGCTTCTGAGACAGTTAATTTAATTATTTTGCATACTTTTCTGTTGGTTTTGATGTCATGGATGAAACCTGACTGTGATTTATTGCTGGCTGTACTGTGAGGGCCCACTTTCCTCCTCACAGCTCATGAAAATTTCACACGTCTAAGCCTTCAGGACTTCACCTTTTTCACCAAGCAAATGCTTCAGCTTCTAATGGGGCAGGCAGGAGATGTTTTCTTTACCAAGCACATGCACAGACTTGCTTGCCTGCAAGAGAAGCAAAACTCCATTCATGCATGAGTATTAACCAAGACCTGTGTTTTTTCTTGCCCATAAGGCTCTCAGCAACCAGAGGTTCTTAGCAAATGGAGTTGGAAGAGATGCTGAGAGCTGACTCATTCCCTTTTCCCAAAGGGATCAATCCTATGTAACCTCACCTTGGCTGCTCTTTCTCTAGCATGTGCTTAACAAACTCCAGCACCACAGATGCCACAGCTCTCCTGTGCAGTCTCAGTGCTTCACCAGCTGCTTGCCATGGTGTTCTCATCAACATTTCTGAAGAGGGACAGCTTTGCCTCTCCAGGCAGAGAATTTCTGGGAGAGTTCATCCTACAAGATTCTCCACTCTTGTTTCTTTCATTCCCAAACTGTTACTCTTCTTGGCTCCTCAGCTCCCCTCTTTCCTCCCTGCATCCAGAACCCAAGTAACAGAACTACCAAGTGAAAACCTAGAAGAGGGATTTTGCATCCCCCCTAAATGTGCCACCCTCTGTTTAACACCCACTGTTTAACATTACCAAAAAGAGTGTTTCCACCCAAGCACCAAGATACATGCCTTGGTGAAGAGGACAGGCATATTTGAAACAAAAGAATGGCACTGTATTGTCTTGGTTTGAACTCGCAATTTCCTCCTAATGTTAGAAAAGCTTCTCTAAGGAGAAGGACTCAACTGGACTGGTCATGGTAAAGACTGGGACTGGAGTCACAGTAGAGACCTGGACTCTTCCACACTCTTCCCTGTGCTCTGTGTAACTCAGATGTGCAGGGTTTTGGAGAAGTGACAGAGCCTCTACACTCCCCAGACAAAACCACCACTGCAGTGATGCCACGGGAATGGCTGGATGGTGTTTGCATCAGAGTTTCCTCTCTGTCTTGCTGAGCTAATGTAGGGTCCAGCCTCATTAGTGTTAATTACAGCCAAGGAAAAGAAACATTAACAAAACCAAATTAAATTATGTTATTCTGCTCAAGCCTCGTAGGCTGCAGAGAACAGGCTAGAAATAGCCCTACAAATGTGAATTTGGGCTGAAATCATAAAGGCATTTTCCCCCAGACATGCAAGTCTTTAGCCAGCCTCCTTGAACTACATTTCCTGCCTGTGACTGAGAAGCATGCACCACAAAGATGCCCCTTGGCTAATGCACATGTTTGGGATACCCTGGACAACCTGAGAGGGAGGGAAGAAGCTGGTCTCCAAGAGAGGAGCTAAGGTCCAGACCAACCATACGCTCCATTTCTTACTCCACCTAGATGCTCCTAGAGGCCCCACCCACCTTGCCTTATTCCTGTGCTCCTCCTCCTCGCCTCAAACACAAACTCCCTGGCTGAATTTTTCTCCTGCCTTTAGAAGACACTCCAAGATGCTAGAAAGGACTCTGCTAGCAGGAAAAACTCTGCAGGACACAGCTTGCCCTGTGCTCCCTCTGGTTATCTAAATGACCCTGGTAGAGATTCATTAACTGGTTCTCAGCCTTCCTCAAGGTCTTAAAAATAATTATTGAAACACAGTGAGGAGTATTTACCAGGACCCTGGTAACAGGATGGTAAGTCTGCTTGAAGATGAGGCTCTGGGGGCTGTGAGGACAATCTGGCTCTCTTTAGCAGAATAAATTAGCTCTTTTGACCCTCCTTTTGCACCTCAAGCAGTAGAAGTCAAGATGCTCCTAGTTCTGCTCTTCTTTTCAATCACCCAAAACTGTGGTAGAGCTATTGTTGGTCCAAGAGCATTTGCCATATTCTGGCCAACACTGATACCAAGATAGTGAGAGGCTGAGCTCAGGCTGAGCACCATCATGGTAGGTGTTGTACTAACACACCACAACAGATGGGTCCTGTCCTAGGGAGTTTGTAACAACAGAATTACAGAGTAATTTAAGCCAGAAGGGACTAGATCAGGTGTCTCAGGTCCCTGCTCGGTCAAGTTTTAAATATCTCCAAGAACAGAAATCCTACAACCTCTCTGGGTTCCTGATCCAGTGTTTGACCACCCTCATGGTGGAATTATTTTCCAAACAAATGTTAGATACTAATAAGAAATCAATTGCTTTGACTTGGAGATTCCCAAGAAATGAGTCATTGCAGAAGACTGAATGTTGGATCCAATCCCAGGAGTCAGAGACAGCCCCTTCTTGTAGGTAGCAGCTGGGATGGCCAACACAGGATGACAAACATCAGACGTGACACACTAAGGGATTCTCACATGACAAGAGAATAGAAGGGCAACCAGTTTCAGGACACTCAGCTCATTCTAGCAAGAGGGGCAACTTAAAAAATTCTGAGTTCCATCTGAGCTCTGCTTTCCTTCCCCCAGTGGCAGTTAGAGCCTGCTTTGCTAATGAAATTAGATACAATTATTAAAGACTCATTAAGACAAGATCACTATTGCTATTATTGCAATAATGTAGTCCATTGCAGCATAGCTGGATAGTGAGGACCATACCAGGCCAGATCTGTCACAAGTGCAGGACCAAGAACCATTCCTGCCCTTGGGAATAAGAGGGAAGGACCCTGTCTTGCAAAACTCTTAGACACATGTAAAATACATTTGTGGGACTTGTTCTCTTAGAGGTCATCATCAACATGTGCAAATTTTGATGTCCAAAGCTTTGCAGCACAAGGTTTGATGGTGCCAAACCAGACCTTTGCAATGGCTTAGTAGTCACCAGGGTGAGATGGGCAGATGAGAACCAAGATGGGGAGCCAAAGGGGTAAAAAAGGTCACTTAACCATCTCTAAATGTCTTTCCTCATTATGGAAGTGCAATATCTTGAATCACTTCAGCCATTGTTTCGTAAATTTATCAAAAAACACCCTTATTTTTCTTGCAATCTTATGGGCTGGCTGGAGAGGGTGCAATCAGAAGGAGCTCAGGAAATATCTAAATGAGCTTTAAAACCGATCATCAACTTTTAATGTAACATTGAAGCTGTGACTACGTCAGGGGTGGTGTTTTGTTTTGCTTTTTTTTCCTCTCCATGTATAAATTTGAAGCTCCCCAGGTCATCTGGGAAGTTCCCATGGAAACAGACACCTATTTGTAAGGGGGAGAAGGAAACCAACCAACTGAACAAGCTGTAATTATTTAAAGATGTAAAAAATATATATTATGAAGTAGTATGGCTATCAATCCACTTATCTTCTACACCTTTAGAACTAATGGAAATAAAACAATTATAATAAAACCAGAAGGCTACTGCTTGACTTTGAATCCCCTCATGGACTTCTTGGAGAGGGCTGGGGCTAAATGATCACATATGAAGGGAACTTGGAGAAGAAATGATGCAATGGGTCCTGTTGTAGGGAGTTTGTAATAATAGAATTACAGAGCAATTTAAGCCAGAAGGGACTAGATCAGGTGTCTCAGGTCCCTGCTCAGTCAGGTTTTGAATATCACCAAGGATGGAAATTCTACAACCTCTCTGGGTTCCTGATCCAGTGTTTGACCACCCTCATGGTGGAATTATTTTTCAAATAAATGTTAGATACTAATGAGAAACAAAATCATTGGTGAATTAATTTAATTGCTTTGACTTGGGGATTCCCAAGAAATGAGTCATTGCAGGAGACTGAATGTTGGATCCAATCCCAGGAGTCAGAGACAGCCCCTTGTAGGTAAGAGCTGGGATGGCCAACACAGGATGACAAACATCAGAAGTGACAGACCCAGCAACGAAGCCCTTCAAGGTCGGGTTGGATGGGGCTTTGAGCAGCTTGGTCTGGTGGGAGGAGTCCCTAGCCATGGCAGAAGGAGTGGAACTAAATTATCTTTAAAGTCCCTTCCAACACCAGGCATCCTGTGATTTTAACACAAAGGGGGGAAAGCACCCAATATGTTTCCCACGTGGCAGGAAACCCCCCAAACACAGCGGAGAGAGGAAAAGCTTCTCAGGGCACCTCGACGACTTCTCTTTTTGCTCTGCTCGCCCCCCGGGTTCTGCGGGGCAGCTGCTGGTTGCTCAGCCCAACCACTGCCAGCTGAGCTCCTGAAGGCAAAGCCACGTCCCTCCAAGGTCTGTGCTTCTACAGAGGGGGGGAGTGGCTGAGCTCAGCCCTCCTACAAGCCCCCCACCTGCTTCCCGTGGTGCCCAGCTTCCTTCCCAGCCCCAGAAGTCGGTGTAAGTGGTGGAGGGAGTGGGGCCAGGGCTTGAAAGTCCTCCCGTTCCTCTCCCACCGGCCAACTGGGGAGCTCTCCTGCTGCCTGGGGGGAGGGTCCGTCTGCTATAAAGGTAGGTGGGTGGGAGGGATGTGGGCGTGAAGGGTGAAGGTAAGGGGGGGGTGTGGTGTGGAGGTGGGTGAGAGTGTTGGGCTGGGGAAGGAGGAAGGGCTGGAGAGCAGAAGGGGAGGAAGGAAGCAGGGGAGAAGGGCTGCGTGCTCTGCTCCCAGGGGTGTGCACAGGGTGGGCCTGGGAATGGCAGCGGCTTGAGGGCTGGATGCAGGAATGTGGGGCTCGGGGTGCATGCCATGGGTGCCTCCTCTGGGGCTCTGCAGGGTGTTGGAGGTGTCGGGTGGTTCCTCTTCTTCCTTCCTGGAAGGGGGGAGCATTTTGGAAGAAGCTGAAGTCTGGATTAAAAGGGTGAAGTAGGGAGGTCTGTGGAGAAGGAGGAGACAAGAGACCTCAGGTGCTGGTGCTGCTGATGCCCTGGGGGAAAGGGCAGGCTCTGCTCTTCAGAGGAGCATCACTCTGCTGTCCAGAGTGGCCTCAGCTGGGAGACTGTGCTAAAACCTCACCAAGTGCTCAGCACTGGCAGTGTCTCAGGAGGAGCCTGTTGTGGGCAAGATCAGCAGTAACTGGAGCTATGCAGATTTTTCAGGTGATTAACATCCTCGGGGTTGAACCTCAGGGCTGTGTGAGCTATTCTGGGGCTCATTCCATGCTGCCTGAGAGGACGTCAGTGCCTGGATAGTCATGTGGAAGACCCAAATGACCTGGAGCATGGGCAGACCCCTGGGATGACCTGTCTCTGAGCAGGGAGCAGCTCTTCCCTTGGTAGTTGTGTCAGGACAAGAATAATTCACCATGGCCTGTGCTGTTTCTGGTTCATTAATGTCTCTGCAAGGTTATGTTCCTCCTTTATACTGGGACATCAAAACTGTGACTGAGGGAAACTGTTTGAGTTAGGTGAACTGTAGTTTCTGGTGAGGAGAGAGATGTTAAACAGTCTAAGGTCCTCTGTGACTCTGTGAACACCTGCAATAGGACAGGATTTCTGGAGATCCCCAGGACAAATTCTTGCTTGTGGGATTAAAATTACCATTAGAGAGTTGCTCATGGCCTTATCTGATTGAACTATGAATATCCCCAAATATGGAAATTACCTCCCCGGGCCTGAAAGGAACCTCTTTTCTCCCTGTGGATTTTGCCACAAGGATTTCAGGAGGAAAATGGAGATGAAAAAATGGTGGTGATCTTAGCCTCTGACTGGTGGGGTTTATTTCTAAATTGCAGTTTTCCTTCAAGTCTAGAGCATCAAGTGTGAGAAGGACCTGCTATTTCCACAACTGCTGCTGGAGATGCCAGAGGGTCCCTCTGTGAGGAAGTTCCATCTGCTGACCTCCCCTTTTGTGGGACAAGTGGTGACCAAGGTGGGGGGAAGCAGCCGTAAGATCGATGTGAATGACTTGAATGCCCTAAGGCTCCAGGACTCCCAGGTGAGCTGTACTAAAGATTAACTTATGGGTCCCTGACAAGTCTGAGGCAAACCATCATTGCCCTGCATCTGGGTCACAGAAGGTGCATAACCTGAGAATGACACCAAGCTTGTGTTTGAGATGGACCATTGGCTTTCTTTATAGCCACAAAACAGGTGCATGTGGCCAAAGAGATGTGAGAGGCCATTTTGCAGTTTTGCTCCGTGTTGCAAAGTTTGAGATCAAGGTTACTGTGAGGTGAGGGTGTTGCAGTGATGTGGCTAAACATGAGGATACCCAGAATTATTTGCTGTTTTGGCTCAGTCATGTTGATGCTGGTTCTGTGTCACTCCAACGGGTGAGGAGTTGGTGTTGGTGAGGGCTCTTTGTAGATGAGGGTTGATTTCTTCAGTATGTGAATATTGGAAGCAGCAGCTTTGTTTCCCTCAGCTGCAAGCTTGCACAGTTGCATCCTTTGTACCTGGCAAGGTTGAAATGTCTATGCTGTGGGCACTTCTGACAGTCACCCTGGGTCAGTCTTACTGTGGGTTTCACTTGCTTGACCTTCTTTAGATGGTGATTTGGACTTGCCATAGAATGGTTTGGGTTGGAAAGGACCTTAAAGATCATCTAGTCCCAACCAGCTGCCACGGGCAGGGACACCTCCCACCAGTCCATGTTGCTCCAAGCCCCATCCAACCTGGCCTTCAACACTGCCAGGGATGGGGCAACAACAGCCTTTCTAGGCAACCTGGGCCAGTGTCTCACCATCCTCACAGGAAATATTTTCTTCCTAATAGTTCATCTAAGTCTACCTTATCTCAGCTTGAAACCATTCCTGCTTATCCTGTCACATCATGCCCTTGTCAAAAGTCCCTCCTCAGCTTTCTTGTAGTCCCTTCAGGTACTGCAGGGTGCTCTAAGGTCTCCCTGGAGCTTTCTCTTCTCCAGGCTGAACAACTTGATTGACCAAATGCTCTTGCAGCCTCAGCTCTGATTACTTGGTAGTCCCAGCTGGGGGCACAGATGTGAGTAGCTTAGTCACTTCCAGAGCCACTGTTGAGTTAGGTCACCCTAGCCTGAGACACCTGAGGCCAGCACAAAATGGGGAGGTAAATGAGCAGCAGTGATGACTGACTTTGAAGCCCTGAGTGTCTGTCCTGGTGTGTCTCTTTGGCCTGAGAGGAGCCTCTAGCAGGGTGTTACACTGGAGTGGCATCTGAACACCTGGTGCTTCCTATAGATAAAGGAGAGGATAACTGCAGCTCTGATGGGGGTGGCTCAGATGCTAAGGAACCAGTGTTTAGGGTGGGGTGATGTACCTTCTGTCTGAAAGAGGTTGCAGAAAGTGGTCACTTGTATAGAAATTACCAGAAGTCACGTGGATCCTCAGTACATCCCACCTGTTTTCTCAGGTTCATGGGAAGATCTTGTACCTGGCATTTGTGGCAGCTGGAAATCCCTTAGGACCAACTGCGGAAGAGATGGTGCTACAAAGAGAAACTGCTAGTGGAGCAAGTTCTTCTGCCCTGGGAGAGCAAGAGCAAGTTTGTGCTTCAGAAACACATCCCCAGGATGAGGAGCTGCTGGAACTTCAGCACTCGAGATCTGAACCTCCAGATGCAGCAGAGGGCCCAGGCAACTGGCTGCGTTTCCGCTTTGGCTTGTTTGGCAGTGTTAGAGCAAACGAGTTCTCAAGGGCAAACAAAGCCAATAAGAGGGGGGACTGGAAGGATCCTGTACCCAGGTATTTGCTGGAGGCATCAAAACTGCCTTTTCCCTGCCCCTCATTCTGGAGAGGCACTCTTCTGACTCAAGCTGCATTTGTGTGGGGATGTTCTTAGGCCTTTCTTCTCTGATAATCCTTAAGATAAGCAGGCGTGGGAGATGTCACCAGCAGGTGTGGGGTGTGTTCAGCCAGGGAATCCACAGTGCACCTGTGGGATGCACGTTGTCTGCCAGCCTGGGATCATAGTACCAGCTCAGTTAAGATTTTTATTCAAAGAGAGAACTTCTAGAACGCCAGACTGAATAATGCCCTGAAAATGTCAGTTTCTCCCAATGGCATGTTTTTAAAAAGCCTTGGATAAGCAGCATATCTGTAGGGCAGCTGGAGTCACTGGTTGGAGTGATGCTGTTGCAGGCAACAGTGCATTGAAAACATGTCTAGGCCCCTTCCAACCCAATAAATTCTGGCATTCTATGATTCTTCCAGCCATAACAGAATATAACAAATTTTTCAGGGATGTTTCTGGTACTAAACTTCCCACTTCTTTGCTTCTCCTAGGCTGGTTCTGCACTTTGAGCATGGAGGGTTTCTAGTTTTCTACAACTGCCAGATGCACTGGTGCTCCTCTCCAAGGGCTGATCCTGCCTCCGACATCCTGTCTGTGGAGTTCCACCGGGGCCGGGCACTGGATGCCCTCTGCACACCTGAGCCCATCTGCTACACCCTCTTAAACCAAAGATATTTCTCTGGTCTGGGTAAGTTCCAGGGCATAGTGGTAGAGCAAGAAATGGAGGAAGGTGGGTTGGAGGTCTAATGATCCGGAGCTGAGTGTCTGAGCCTTTTACTCCTTGGCCTTATGGCTGATCCAGCTGTGGTCATCTTGCTGAGGACAAAGCTTGCGGTCTGTGGACACAGGCTTCAGGTGCTGGACTGCACCATGTGAGCACAGTGAACTGTGGCTGTGACTCCGGATTGGCTTGTACTTGTGGATGAGAGGAAGGTCTGCTTTAGGGCAGTGGGAAGAGAACATCCTCCAGTCCAATCCCTGCTGTAGGTCTGCTCCTTGTGTGCTACCTCTCTTCTGGGAATGTTGCTGCTGCCTGTGATCCTAGAGGCAGGAGTCACAGTGATTGGAGCCATCGGTCTGTACCATCTTGATAAGAAATATCCTTACATTCTCCTTATTTCTGACCCTTTCCAGGAAACATCATTAAGAATGAGATCTTGTACCTGGCCAAGATCCACCCATTAACACAAGGCTCTTTCTTGGCCCCCTCGGACCTGGAGCGTCTGCTCGACTGTGCGGTTCAGTTCAGCTCAGCCTGGCTGCACAGCAAGCTGCGTGGCCAAGGGCTGCACCCTCGGGTCTACCAGAAGGAGCAGTGTCCCCTGGGGCATGCAGTGATGAAAGGAACCCTTGGGCCTTCAGGTGGCTTAAAGAGGCTTACGTGGTGGTGTCCTCAGTGCCAGCCTGCAGTACTGCCGGGGAATGGGGATCATTCCCCGCTCACTGAGTGACATGAGTTTGTGTTCCTCCTTTCTCGAGGGCGTCTAGGTGGTCTGGAAACCATGCTCTCAGTTGTCCTGAGAAGCTCTTGATGGTTTCATTGGGGCTGAGTTTGCTCCTTAGGGACAGTGAGTTGGCACAGTTAGTGCTCAGCAGAGGTTACAGGGGTCACTGCAGCACTGTGTGCCTCTGGGTGTGGAAAGGGAAATAGTTGTAAGTCTTTTTTTGTCACTGTGACACGAGTGTAAATAGTTTGACCAGTTCTAAGGTGTCTTGGTTCCCCCTATTCAAACTATAGTGAATGGAAAGTGTTGGATGTCAAGCAGATGATTACTGTGGTCTGAAGTGACCCTGTCCCTAAATCCTGGTGCAGGTGCAATGGCTTCTGGTGAGCTTACTAGAAAGGACTGTAGCCCTGTGCCCAAAGACCTTGATTAATTACTTACTAGATAATCCTGCCTCCCCTTGTAGCTGAATACCTGTGTGCTGCGCTGTGATTAGGTGTGGTTAAAACTGAGTGGCTGTTGCCTCTGTCAGCACTTACAGAAGCTGCTGCCTTCTCCCAAGGGGTGAAAACAAAGTTTGGCAGTGCTTGGTGGAGCTCGTTTCTGCCTGCCTCTCGTGGTCTCTGCCCCCCCATATTTGTTTTGTGACAAACTGCAAGTTCCAGATCTCCGTGTTTGCATAACATATAGGGGTGGTCTCTAAGGGAGGGACTGTGAGGCTCAGTTATTGCTACTTACAACTTGGATCACAAGCCATGGTAGATGTGGGTGTGTTTGATTGTGTTTGTGACAAGGATTACATGGAACTCAGGATCTGCAAGGTAACCTGAAAGCAAAGATGTGGAATAGAGATGGTGTGGTCCCTCCTTTGTTGAGCTGTGTGTCTCTGTGCAGGAGGCCAAGGCTATTGCTGTTTGGATCTGGGTTTATTTTAACAACACATTGATCACTCGATTTAAAAATTAAAATTGGAGTTAGAATTGTTGATGTTCAGCTTAAGTTCAGTGAGCCTTTTGTGGTGGTGTTTGTTTTTTTTTTTTTGTTAAAAACCACAGTGTCCAGGGAAACTCCAGGGTTGGTGCTGCCCTTTAGAAGGTGGTGCCAGCAGCTTTCCTCAGCTGCCTAAGGGTGGCTCAGTGGGAGAACTCTTCCCATGGGAATGGGACCTAAAAGTGGATTGCAAGTCACAGAATGGTTTGGGTTGCAGGGGCCTATAAAGGTCATCTAGTCTGACCCCTCCCAATAAGCAGGGACATCTCCAACTAGACCAGATTGCTCAGAGCCCCATCAAGCCTGACCTTGAATGTCTGCAGGGATGGGGCCTCCACCACCTCTCTAGGCGATCCCAAAGTTTTACAGGTCATCTAGTTCCAACCCCACTGCACTGAGCAGGGACATGTTCAACAGGATTAGGGTGCTCAGAGCCCTGTCCCACCTGACCTGTAATGTTTCCAGGAATGGGCCACCTACCATCTCTCTGGGCAACCTGTTCCTGTGTTTCACCACCCTCACTGTAAAAAATGTATTCCTTATTTCTAGTCTCCCCTCTTTCAGTTTTAAAATCATCTCTCCTTGACCTATTGCAGCAGGTCCTGCTGAAAAGCTGGGCCCATATTTTTTCCTCTTATAAGCCCCCTTTAAGTATTGAAAGGCAGCAATAAAGTCTCCTTGACATCGTAGCCCCACTGATTGGATTAGTCAGAAGTCCCATAACCTGTAGCTACTCAAGGGTGCTGGGACTCACAGGGGAGTGTCTGTGCAAGCCTTGTTTGTGAAGCAGCACCGAGCTCTTCACCTCCAGCATTCCCAGCTGACAGTAAAGACAAGGAGCTGTTGGCAAGTCCAGAGGAGGCCATGAAGGTGATGAGAGCAGGAGCAGCTGTGCTCTGAGGGCAGGCTGAGGGAGCTGGGGGTGCTCAGCCTGGAGAAGGCTCCAGGGAGACCTCAGAGCCCCTTCCAGCACCTGGGAGGGCTACAGGAAAGCTGGGGAGGGAGTTTCCACAAGGGCATGGAGTGATGGGATGAGGAGGGAACGGCTGTAAGATGCAAGAGGGGAGATCGAGATGAAATTCTTTGCTGTGAGGGCGGTGAGACCCCGGCCCGGGCTGCCCAGAGCAGCTGTGGCTGCCCCAGCCCTGGCAGTGCTGACGGGCAGGTTGGATGGGGCTTGGAGCAGCCTGGTCTCGTGGGAGGTGTCCCTGCCCATGCAGGGGGGTTGGAACTAGATGATCTTTAAGGTCCTTTCTAACCCAAACCATTATGTGATCCTGTGATTATATTCATGGATACAAGAAAACCTGTTACAGAAATTTCTTATAAAAACTGGAAGTGATGCATCTTGATTTTCTTTTTGTGGGCAGTCACTGTACATGATAAAAAGAGATACATAAGATGAACTGTGGGTATGGCATTTAGCCCAGCTACAGCTTTTTCAGTCCAAAGAAACCCATCAGACTGAGCCAGAAGTGACTCATTCTTGTCTGTAACAGTGCTCCAAAGCAATTGACTGCAGAGAATCAAGACACTGGCCTACGATAGCAAGACAGAAGAGAGCGTACCAAGAAAGTTCCAACTGTACCTTTATGTTCATTGCAATTATGCCAACTTCAAACACATTTTTTCTCCTACTCACCGGACTGTATCCTGAAGGACAATCTGGCATGCATCCAGTGAGAGACAGACCCCGAACAAAATGTAACGGGACACATGGGGTTTGTCTAATGAGACATGTCTGTTAAACGTTTGAGTCAAGGTTGATCTTAATATCCACCACTTGCTTAATAATTGAGATTGATAAAAGGGAATGACAGGATAAAAATGCTGCACTTCGCCCTTCAATTTATCTAGATAGGTACAAAAGTCACCCAGTACTTTAGACTCCTTCCCACAGTTGAGCCAACAGCTAAGTGTTCAAGGCAAAGCTGAACTGTAGGGAGTGATTCTCTGTTTTTATAACAAGATTCCCTTTGGCCTATCCATCTATTTCAGTTAGACTCCACACATACACAGCCCATTTGACAACAGTGTTCTTAGCAATCCATTTACATTTTTAATTAGGTTATTGTAAACCCTGATTATTGTAGTTAACTTTAAAAAAAAAAAAAAAAGAAAGAAAGCTATTGATATAAAGATGGAGACTGAACCAACATCATGAGCAGTAAGTTTCATGTTCTCTGAAAGAGTAGTGGTGGCTGATGCAATCTGCTTGTGCCCACAACCAACACAGATAAAGACATTCCCTTTCATTACAGCAGCACTTGTGTGGACACTGTAATGCTTACAGGAATGTTAGTTTAGCAGCTATTTGCCACCTAAAGCAATCAAAAGTTGTTGTAGAGTAGAGAAAATATATATAATATTTAATACTTTGGTTTCACTTTTGTTTCGTTGCAACTGTGAAGTTGCAATCTGAAAATGCTCCATCTTGCTTCAGTATAAAAGTCTCTGTAGATAAGCTTGCAAAATAGGTCTCCCAGAAATATATTCTGATTAACAAAGAAAGAAAAAATGATATCTAGATGGGCTATTCATTTAATACAAAGATTTGCCTCAAAGAAATTGACTCATTTTTACCAGTTATTTAAATACCAGAGATTTTTTTAAGTGTGGCTGTTTGACTAAAAAAAAAAAAGCCAACTAAAAACTTTACATTATGTCATTGGAAAACTGACCAAATAGGAGACATTTGAAGTCGGACTTTTGAACATGAGTAAATGAGATGCATGAAGGAGAGTAAGGAAAGAAAACTTTCAGTGGTTTGATTTGATCTATGTTTAAAAAACCCTATTGTTTCCTAAAGAATGCTGTTCTACAACAAGATACAATGGATTTTAAATTACTGGATATAAGGAGAAAAATTTTCTATATGTTATACTGCCAATTTGTGCTACTTCTGTAACATAATAAAAATTAATCCTTTACTGATTTTTATACAGAGTATTATCATATTCTGAAAGAACAAAGTACATCTGCTGATAAACTTTCTCACAGTGTATGATGTCTAGTATCTCTGCCAATATTAGCTTTATGGACCAAGTAATAATATTATGTTAATAACTGCTGATCGCTATTTGTGTACCAGAGTGTTCCAATACCATGGTGATGAGAATGCTGCTGGTGTCTGGAACAGATGGACAGAACATGAGAGATATTTGCCTTGATTTTAAGACAAACAGGATTACCTGTGTCATTAATAATGCCACATGAAAGCACAGACAAAACCACATGATTCTATCTCCATCTCCATTAACTGGCAGGAAGAAAACCACAGTGTGCATTTATGAAGACACACATTTGGTGCAACAATTTACCCTAAATTTCAGGGAGAGTAAATCTTTGAATCACTTGTAAATCCAATGCTTTATGCTATTAACAGTGGAAATAAACTCATCACCTTCTTGTCAGCCACATAGCTCCTTTGCAGTTCTTTGCAAAGCTGATACTTCAGGGTGGAGATGAGGCAAGTGTCTGTGTCCTGCCCACCACCACTGATTTAAACACCTGCTGATTTAAACACCTCCTATAAACAAGTCACAACAGCTTTCCACCATTTCTGAAGAACTGACTCCCCAGATGCCAGGGATTCCTGGCAGAGCTGGCCAGGAGATGGTCCATGCAATGCCATGTTCCTTTAGCTGAGCTGCTGGGAAATGCTCCCTCTGCTCTCCCAGTGCAGCAAATGACCATGATACTGGGCTGAGCTGTCTAGGACACCCTTGGTACCCTCCCACCACATGCAGCTGGACATGGAGTTTTTCACATCCAGCCTGGGGATAGGCACTACAGCTTCTTGGCCAGTAGAGAGTTAAACACAGTGCCTGGCCATGTGCTGTTTGTGACACCCTGGGAATGTGTCCTGGCAGTGCCAAGGCTGGCACTGGCCTTCGGGCTGGCTGGGGGGGGTGAGCAAAAACCTAGGGCTGACCGAGGGTCTGGACACTGTGTGGAAGGTGATTTTGGAAGCAGCTGCCTCAAAACCCACACAATCATTTGAGGGGGATTTGCTG